AAAACCCTAAATTATGAGATGGAGTTGAAGAATTGAAAGAAATGGGAAGATCGATAATGGCGGACAAGAAAAACAGAAACGAGGCTAGCAGAGGAACAAACAGAGGCGAAAGCTCTATTGTTAATATTGACCATCGTAGAAGCCTTGGCAGTTATTGTACATCCGGTACTCACACCAGTATTTCTCACGGTCACTTTCTCCAATTCTCTTTCCATTTCTATTCTCGTGTTTTTCTAGATTGATCAATTTCCTTTTAGGCATAACAATGTTTGTGCTAAAATTGAAACATTGAATGAGCTGTTTTTCTCTTCTTTTTGCTTGTTTTGTTCATCTTCAGCTTTTTCATTAAATTATTGATACAAAAAGGTAGCTTCTTGGTGGGTTTATAAAGGATGTTATTTTGAAGGACGCAATTAAGGCAAATTTACAAACATAGAATTAGAAATGGTATACAGAGTTTGAATTTTTCTACTTTGAACTTAAGCTACTATGCTTATTTGAAAATAATAAATATTTTTTCCCCATCAAATCTAAGTTTATTTTGGTCACTCAAATGTTTGTTTTGTTGTGTTTGACCAAATAAATGAGTCAACCACCCGTGCCTTATGGTTCAGGGAAGCAAGTAGGAGTGTAAAAATGGTCCGCGATCAGTGCGCGGCACGAAATCAGCTCGCGGCCTAGGGTGAGCTCAACCCGTTTGGGCCCGAGCCTTGCCCAAGACCTTGGGCTAGGGCCTAGCTCATTATTTTAAAGCCTAGCCTTGCCCGTGGGCTTGGCCCATCGACCCGCTTAAGGCCCACTCAAGGCCCGACCCACCCGAGGCCCAGTGTTTTTTTAGTAGAAAATAATAAAATTTTGATAGAAAAAAATTTTTAAAAAAAAATTTGTTCAGGCCCGCCCCAAGCCTAAGCCTACCGGCCCGTCCAAGGCCTGAATACCCTTGGGTGTGGGTCTAATTTTCTAGCTTGTGGGTCGACCCAAATTTTGTCAAGAGCCCGCGAGGCCCGACATGGGCCGGGCCGGGCCAAATTTACACCCCTAGAAGCAAGGTATGAGCTTAATGGGTGGTGTAGATGTTGAATTTGAAAACATCCTTGTGTATCTCTGTGATTATGTATGTCGAACTGAACTTTTTCTGTTAATTTCTCTATAATTTGTGTGGAAGCAAAGAAATTTTAAACTAGAGAAATATCAAAATACAAAGAAAATTGTGAGCAAAGTAGAAAAAATTAGTCAGAACACAAAGAAATTTGTGAGCAAATCAGAGAAATTTCAAAACACAAAGAAATTTGTCTTTCTCGGTGTTTTGAAATTTCTCTGGATCAAAATTTTTCTGAATTAAAATTTCTCTAGAAAAATGTTGAGGGACTCCAACCATTATGAAAATATTGCATGTCGTTTATCCTATTAAATTTTTAATATTAGAAACCTTAAAAAAAAATTCCCTACTTTTACTAAATAAGACTGCACCTATTAAAAAACAAGGCCCAAGAAATTGTTTTGTCAATGTTTTACTACGATAATAACATAAAACTTATGGCTAAAAAATAATAAATAAATAAATTATGCCATTGAATGGTAAATGGTGAATGGTGAATGGAGAATGGTGAATAGTGAATGGAGAACGGAGAAATTACTTGTACATAAGAATGAATCACTACGATTCAAAAAGTCCTATGACCTTAGTAGTAGCTCAAGGAAAAGGTTGAGATCCCATTTTTTCTTGACCCTTACCACTTTTAATGTATTGGGATTGGTCAATTTTTTGCTTTTTCTTTTTGTTTTTGTTTTTATTTTTTTTTCTCCTATCATTTACTAACATGTGTTTGTGGAGATTGTGGGGGTCAAGGAAAAAAGAGGTCTCTATCATTTCTGGATCACTAAAATTCAAATAGACCTATGACCTTAATAGTAAATTAAACTTGTACTTTTCCCATCCCATTTTGATGGTCCTTTTTTAAAATTTGAACCTTTTATAGAGAACATGAAATCATTGCAACTGAATTCAAATTTTAGAACACTTATTTCATTAAGGATCTGGCTTTCCTCTAATCTCAGATCAGACAAGAAGGTGTTGTTGGGCCCATGAGGGTCCACCACGGGTTCTATTTTGATAATCCAAACCATTCAATATGTAGAACTCGTCGAGTACTATATGCCTGCACAAAATCATATTGGTCGGATATTGATAGCTATGTCATTACATCAGTTTTGTATCAACCGTTATTTTTTCACCGTCTATACAAAACTAATTTGATCGTGTAGCTATCAATATTCGATCAATGTAATTTTTTACAGCCATATAGTACTTAACGAGTTTTATATATTGAACAGTTTGAATTATCGAAACAGGACCCGTGGTGGGCCCCCACGAGTCCAACAGCACCCTCTAGTTTGATCTGAGACTGGAGGGAAGCCGTGGTGGGCCCCCACGAGTCCAACAGCACCCTCTAGTTTGATCTGAGACTGGAGGGAAGCCAATGCTTTCAATAAAACCCTTCTCTTTTCAGTTTTCAATATATTTCTAGCTATTTAAAAAGGATAATTTTGAAAAATGAAATATTTTTTATTTGACTTTTCAAATGAGACTAATATTTTGAGATATCTTAAAATGAAGAAAAAAAAAAAAAGGCTAACAAAATGGAACAGGGACTAATTATTTTATAGAGAGGCTTCTCTTTATTTTGTATTGATTGAAGGGGGAATTCTATTTACACCTAAAAAACAATTAAGTAAACCCAATTTTTATACCTCAATAAATTATTTAGGGTTACAATTTCTTCTTAATATATCCTATTTTTCCCCTCAAATTACCCTTTGGAGGTACACCCAAATAAAACAAATTAAAAAAATCTAAATTACTTTTGAAAACCCTTTTGAAAAATCATTCCTTTGTTCACATTCATACAGGAAAAGGGGAACGATGAAGGAGGACAATGAAGGAGAAGGAGAGGGTGAATTTCGGGTTTGTCTTCGCATTCATCGAGTTTGAAGCTTGAACTTTGTGTTTGCATTGACTGACCGCTATCCACCGTCATCCGCCTCCATCCATCATCGTCTATAATGAATTTGATTTTTTGTGTGAGGGCGTGTTGTATTGTGTGCCCTTTTTCTTGATCATTTTTCCTTGAAAAAGTGAATTGAGATAAAGTTACTCCCAATATTAGCATTTTGCCATCCCATATCTGTGCATCATCTCTAATTTTTTTTTTTTTTTTGGTTTGAAAATATGCTTTCTTTATTTATCTTTACACTTCCCGAAGGAAGCAGCTTTGCTGCAGCTGCTCAAAATTTTATTTTTTCAATTGCTTACATATTTCCAGTTTGAATCCACCGCATAACAACCACTAAAAATACAAAGTAAAATATCTATATAATAATAATGTTAATGATAATGGTGAGTTTTGGTGAGATAGATGGGAGTTTTAGAGTAAAGAAGAAGAAGAAGAGAAAATAATTAAAACTTGGGGAAGAAAATGCTGAGATTTGAATAGAAAGAACACATATAATTGATTAGAGTGTACTATGAGAGAAAAAAAATATTTTAAGATTTAATATATTGTTTTTATTAGTAAATTCACATTAAAGTATAATAAAAATTAAAATTTTAAAATTTAAGTTAGACGCACTAAGATATTTTTTAGGTTCAAATAAAACCCTGATTGAACGGTGTTATTGAGCCTTCGTGGCCCACCATAGAACCTATATCTCGATGATCCGAATTAACTTTGTTTAAAGGCATACAATGACATCCAAAGCAATCATGTTAACTGGGGAAAAAAATAGTAAATAAAAATGCATGTTGAATGAGAAATTATTGGTGGCGTTGTCCTTCAACAACATATTAGACCACACAATTGTATGCACAAATAAGTTAACTTGGTTGAGTAGTGCAGATATATATATATATATATATAACAAACGACAAAATACTCATCCCCCCAGTTAACTTGCTTAAATTACACTGTGACCTTTTTATACTTGGAAGTTAAAGTTTTTTTTTTCCTCTCATCTTCGCATTCACATTTGAATTTTTCCTAATTTATTCTTAAAGTCAACTTTTGTCTAAAATTAGGCAGAAATCACCGATTGACTACCACGTGACATAAAAATATATTATTATATTTAAATTTAAGTTTAGGTTAAAGGAGTAGATTAAATATATTGATATATTTTATGTCATGTGACTATTAATGTGATATTTTCTATCTAATTTTGGACAAAAATTAACTTTAAAAGTAAATTGAAAAAAACTTGAAACGTGAAGGGCCAAATTCAAAAAAAATAAAATAAAAAATTGAAGGATCAAAGTGAAAAAATGATAAAATATAAAGGAGACAAAGTGCAATTTACCCTATTACATTTAAATCATTAATGGATATGAATACTCCCCCCTTCTTCATGATCATAATTAAGGTTGTACAAAATACCGCCTAATTTGCTTCACTTTGTATTGATTCATCCGCTAATTGCAGATTAAATTTTAAAATTTATAATTCGTATTTAAAACCGCTTTGCTCCGATATAATTAATGCATATATTTTTTTAACCTCTAATAAAATATCAAATTAAAAATGTAAAAATGAGAGAGATTTAAGAAATAATTTTTTTGTAAATTTTAGTTATCTATATGAAAAATATTATGTAAGATTAATTTGTATTATATATATAAGAAAATATTATACAAATTAGTATTATATATTATGCAAATTTTTATAATTGTTTATGAATATTCTTCAATCAACTAGTAAATTGAAACCATCATAAATCGCAATTTAGTTATCTGTCAATCCGCTATACACGATTTAGCTTATAATTTTACTCTCAAACCACACTGCTCACACCCTTAATCAGAATAAATACAAAACTTACAACATAAAAATGACCAGACATTCCATCTTTACAATTATAGAAAAGAAAAAAGCTAATTATACATAACTTTATACAAAAATTTCATACAAAATGATGCGCCCAAGAACTTTTTGCAATATTTTTCATAGAAAAAGAATAAATATATCACATTAATATAAAGATCTTGAATGTAAATTCCGGTCTTATTCAGTTTCACACACTTTTTTACAATTCACCTCTTCTTTACCTCACCTCAATTCCTATGAATATCCACATAAATCCCCCACCCCATTACAAGTCCTCGGCTATCAATTCTATTCCTCTGTTTTTACTTTAGACTAATTAGTCTACAACTCTATCTAAATATATATATCATCAATCCTTCTATATATATCTATATATTTCAAATATGTAAAAGCAAAATAAAGAGAATCTAAAATGGCATGAAACGCAGGTAGTCCTTCTTCAGCTTTTTTGTCACGCCAGCTTGAGCCTTCTTTTCCCCTTCTGTGACTGCTTTATGGCTACCGGATGATGATGTTGCCACTGTAGGAGATTTTGATGTACCTTCTTTCCCATCGTGAGTCTTCTCGATTTTGATCACCCTCTCTGGGATCTTTCTGTCCGGCAATTTCTTGTTTTCAGCTTCAGCTGGTAACTTACTTCCATTGCTGCTGATAAGAGACCCTGTGGGCAAAAGTTCAAACAAAGCATTACCAACTTGCAAATAAGTATATTGTTCTTACTATTGAAAAAAAGAGAGTTCATGGCTTATCAATATAACCGAACCAAACCAAGTCAAGCCTTAAGTCCCATCAAATGGAATCGGCTAAAAGTAGGATTCATTTTTATAAGGGATCCAAGCGATTTTTAGGTGCTGGCTGTCGGCTACCTACCATACAACCCTTCTCCTTTACCCAGACTTGGGACCAGCAGAGTTGTCAAACAGCCCCAGCAAAGTTCATGACATATAAGTATATTGTTCTTACAAAACAAAAAGTTCGAACAAAGCATTTCCAACTTGCAAACAAGTATATTGTTCTTACTATTGGAAGAAAGAGAATTCACGATATAACAATATATGGGAAGAAATTTACAAAACAAGCAACACAAAGGGGCCATAAAGTATGCTGCATGCTATTTACATTAAAAAGGTAAAAGATAAAAAGAAAGAAAGAGCCCAATAGGGGAGCATCTATTAACAATTTCAAGTCAAGATTTGCTTATGAAACCACACAACACAAAACCAGTGCCAAAACTGTCTATGTATAGAAAAGTTTGAACGCATTTCGTAAACAATCACAATTCAACTGACATATAGGATTGGTTCATGCATTTCTCATCATGATCTTGCTTATTTAACTAATATTGCTTATTTTTCAAGTAGAGTTCTTGCATTTTGAGATTCTATCAGATATACTGTTCATCAATGATTTTAGGTTGCACTAGAAGGGGAAAGAACTTGTTATATCCAAATTTAGCTCCTTCGAATCAAAACAAAACAATGTTTTTATGTTTGCATCATTAAAAACCTAAGCTAAGCAATTATGCCACACTCCTAATTATATTTGTAACACCTTTCTTAAAGCATGGAGGGCTGTGCAATGTAGAGGAGAGGGAAATAAAGTAAAAAACTGAATTTGAAAAACAAGAAGAAAGAAATGAATGGAAAGAAATCTAGGTTTACCTAAAGTCGCTGGATGCATAACCACCTTATTTGGTTTGCCAGAAGCAGCAGCAATGCAAAACTTGAAATTGGCATTTTTCCCCTGCTGCTGCTTATTTCGGTCAATTTCATCTTCTAGTTCCTGCATGAGGGCCAACGAATCAAAATATTCATCTGATGTCAACGTCAGGCAACTTGTATTGTCCAAACTGGAACAGCGCGATTCTGGTTCTCCAAGAAGATCATCCAACTCCAAGTAGTCATCAACCACGTTTTCGACAAAACTATGTGGAAGTTCCCCAGCTGCAGCCAATGGTCCGGTATAGCCATCCTTGTTCCTTGCCTACAAGTAATTCAATGCAGAATATGATTTTTATTTTATTTTTTTACACCCTTAAGCCCAACATAAACAACATACAAAAGGATGTAACTTGTTGAATTGACTAATGAATCAGGAACTAGCCTAAAGGGTGGGCTAATTTCATGCTGAAGGGATTATAACATGTGCTTTTATCCAAAGATTTTCCATGTTATGCAAGACAATAGTAATGATTCTGTACCAATGTGACAACCTAAAATATAGTTATTCAAACAATTCCTAGAAGCAATTGATTTGCATCTTAGGGTCCGTTTGGATAGATGTGGAGTTCAAATCAAGGGATTCCAGGTTCCACAGAAGAAGATAAGTTGAGATAGAAGATATATAACTTGGCAGGATCCTTATAGCTAAAAAGAGAATTCTCAACCTGATCTCTAGTAACTACTTTTATATAATTATTTCAAATCCATCATGACAATAGCTATTTACCTATATCTTGAAATTCATAGGAAAATGACCATATCTAAAATTGAGTTATTATCCTTGAAAAATTAAGGTCAAATCCCTTGAATTGCACTCCACATCCATCCAAATAGACCCTTATAGAATTTACTAAATGTAGTGATGAAAAATCATAAAGATAAGTGAATATATCTGAAACCTAATGCTCAAACCCGGTGGTAAGCTCATATCACAGATTCACAATATAATCCAAAAGTTAGCTTGGAACTCCAAATAGAAGCCAATAGTGTGAACAAAGAAGCATGAAAAATCAGGACATTAGCTTAAGGAAAAGTAGGAATGTCAAACTACAAATTAAAAGAGATGAAAAATCAAAGCATCCCGATTACAAAATAGAAAAGAAATTCACCATACAAGGTCGAACAAAGATTATGCAAGCTTGACCTACCTGGGACTCGCTCATGCAACCTTGTCCAGTGGTACTGCCAGCAATTGCTGCACCACCCAGTTTGTGCTGCGTTTCATGGTTTGGACTTGTTCCACTGCTAAGAAATATTCTGCATAATAAACTGGATTCCTGCATATTGGCCAACCAAACCGGCAATTGACTGCATGATCAGGCTGATAATAAAAATAAAAGAAAAATGTCAGGAAAAAAAGCATATAGGGTAGTGGCTTGTGTGGTTTACCTTCGGGGGATGGTTACTGCACAGTCCCTTCTGTGGAATTCTATACTCTTGCATCACCCAATCAGTTCTTTGTCCATGAAGGGCTTGGCCTTCGTAAAATTCAAGTGTAGTTCTCCAGCCAATGATGGAAGAGCCTGTATATATCGCATCGGCATCCCCTTTGGCCTTCCAAAATCCATATTCCGAATCTTTTTTCTGCTCTGAGTGTATGAAGTACCATTTTTCATCTGCATATACCACATCTTTTTATAAGCTTCCTCAGCATTTACTCACACTGGCCCTCAGTTTCTATACTCCAAAATAAAGTAAAATTCTTTCTAGGTGGTGTACTAAAACCATTAAAATGTATAGCTCAAACGACGGAACCAAAGAGATACTGTCACCAACGAAGAATATTGATAGGGATCTGAAAGGCGTTGGATGAAAAAATGATTGAAGATTTCATAATTCTTATTTATTAATGAGTTTTAGTTTAATTTAGAATTTTAATTGGATTTTATTTCTTAACTAGTAGTTTCAATTCGTGGTTTCCTATTCTTGGGTCTTAATTAGGTATAGTGCTTATGCCTATATATTTATATGGCTATTATGTGATGATTTTAACCAAGGGGTTGGCTTGGCAGTCAAGGTCTTGGACTTGAGGGCGTGCTCCCTCCAAGGTCTCAAGTTTGAAACCTCCTAGATGCAAACAATTTCTTGGGACTAGTCCATATAGGGCTTTTGCTTTTGCTTTAATTGGGACTCCCGCAAGTGGACGGTGGGATACCAAGTTATCCAAAAAAAAAATGTAATGTTTTAGATAGCTAGACATTGATGAATATTGATATTGATATGGAGGTATTGTTTTCGGATTGTGATCCCAGTTTCTTCTTCTGTTGTTCTTGGTGCTACATCAAATATCTTCGTTACATTGAGGTACAATTCAACTTATGATGCTTTTCTTGTCTAAAGAAAACTATGACCATAAATGTTCAACTATTAGAATTACAATTACTAAACTGATTATGTAGAAACAGAACATAACATGTTTTGTAATGTTTATATTTACAGTTTTCTATTTATATTTACAAAAATTTGAAAACTGTAAACAAAAACTTGTTTGGTATCTATTTTCGTTTTAAATTTTTTTACTTTTTATCTTTTGGTAAACAGTTTACAACATTTCCTAAATTTTTATAACCATAAAAAAGTTGTTTTCACATGTTTAGGAAAATAAAATAAAAATTTCCTTCTCCTCCCACCCCCTTTGTCCACCGCTCATCATCACCACCGGCGACCCCCACCTCCAACCACCGTCTCCAATTACCTCCTCCAAAAACCACCTCCGGCCACCATCTCTAAAAAACGGCAACCACTTTTGGCCACTACCTCTTGCTAAAAACCACATTCGACCACCACTTTGGCGTCAGATACCATCTTCGAACATCAGCAACCATCTTCACACACTACCTCTGGCGGCCAACAGCCACCTCTGGCCACTGCCATTTACCTCCAGCAGCCAGCAATAATGTCCGATCACCACCTCTGTGAGACCAACAACCACAACCGGCCACAATCTGCGATTGTCAACAGCCACCTCCTTCGGCGAGCCACCCCTTCCACTTGTTTTCAAAACAAAAAATTTAAAAACGGTGTACCAAACATGTTTTTGTTTTCGTTTTTATTAAAAATAAGCATAAAATGTTTAATGTTTCTATAAAAAAAAATTTAAAAAAAAAAAAAAAAAAACTGTAAACTTTACCAAACGACACTAGTAATTTGTTTTACCATAAGAAAAAAAGTTGTTCTCACAAAATGTAAATGGGCTTTCCTGTGGGATACCAACCAACTTATCAAGAATATATATACTTATATTCCCATGATGTACTGCAACACCAAAAAACCAATAGCAGCATTTTCAAAACATCTAGAACCATCTACAACAAACTCATATTTGTTGCAATTAGAACTTGTGGCCCTATAACAAGAAGGTCATCAATGACATTGGCAAGGCATACCCATGACAACAGTCGTTCTAGTTAACCAAAGTTTGTTTTTAATGGAAATGGCAATAGTACTTCATTAACATAAGATTATATTTAGTACAATTCCAATCACCAAAATTCAGCCTATCAATCACGAAATGAAGTACGAATCTTAATCAATCAGGACAACAAGAGTTTGAGAAAACTAATCTTAAATAAGACAACCAGATATCAGGCAGTTGAGAGAGAGAGAGAGACAGAAACAGAGATAAATAAAAAGGTGGATTTGCACAGAACAATCAAGATCTAGATTTATACGAACCATTTAAATTTGAGGGCAACTGCTGATAAGGATTAATGTTTTTAATCACGTTTGCAGGGACAGAGGATTCTCCCTGTATCATTCTCTCCAAACACGTAAAGACCTCCTTATCAGTCCAATATAAACCAATATTATCAGGAGGAGTGACGCGTGCTGGAGGACACATGGAGATGTAGTTTCAATTAAGCTAAAACAAAATTGCAGCCCAACACTGGATAGAGTGGAAGTGCAATGCCTGTCAAACTGGCATGTAAAGAAAATGAAAGGAGGTTATTAATAGAAACTTCCAAGTTATCAATAAGTTCACACAGAAAAAGAAAAGTAAGGAATTCAAAAGCTACAATATGGTAGAAGTATAATACACTAAGAAGACAACTAGAACACAAATTCATGATAGATCCTATTATTGTTTCCTGCACCATTTTTAGATGATCAAGACAAAATGGTTGCAGCGATGATAACAAGAAAATAACAAATCATTCTTAGTTTCTATCCAGAATAAGAATATAAATTTTTTTCACATAATCTAGGAACAAAAATAGAATTCCAAATTCATATATTTTTTTCAAGCACATACAAACATACACCCACACCGAAGTCCAAATGAGTCTAAACCAAAATTCATATTTATCATATATCTAGTTTGTTGGACTATGTTTAATGCCCCAAGATCAGCTGTACCCAACTATCACAAATGAAAAAGCATCTAATGATATCTCAGACAAAAGCTTCATAAGCAAAGTTATTAGTTCTCGGTTATCCAGATACGAGGTAACTTAGGTCCAATTGGGCTAGGCTGGGTGGGAGACACTCTGGATTATCAAAAAAAATAAAAGTTACATGCCAATCATACGTTGTCACATGTGAATAAAAGCATACAAAATACACACATTTGTCATTTATGTGTGTGTGCATACTATTAAAGAACACAAAATAATAAAGAGCTGGTGAAAACAAAATCTTAAATTAGGTATTCCTATCCAGTATCTAAGCCACAAAAAGCAATCAACACAGGGTCATTCTACATTAGTAAGTAATTAATGCAAAAAACCATGAATTCAGCCGGAAATCCCCGAATGACAGGCCAAAGTGTGAACAACAAATAATGGGTAATACTTTGATTACATGCCTGTAAGAGGGGCTAATTTGAGCCCACTAAATTATTTAGGCCCAATAGCCCAAGATTAGTGGGCCCGAATTTATCGCAAGTCCAAGAATCGGTGGGCCCAGATTTACCGCCATCAAATGGATTGAATCGCTGTAAGCCTCGAAAGGGTTCGGGACCACGAACCTAGAGACTTACTCGGGCATAAGCTTAATCACTGGAAGGAAAATGAATTCATCTTTTTGGGTATTTAATTATAAATCATCCCAAGTGTTTATTGATTAAAAATCCCAAGCTTATCATCAAAATTGAAGAATTGACCCACAAAAACAAAACATACACAGCAGAATTTCAATCATGGGATTCAAACTACAATGATTCATATTCATTACATAGTTTTCATAGAAATTCAGAGATTACAAAAACCCAAACCTTTTTGCACAAAGAACAAAGCCCAACATGACTCAATGAAAACAGTTATTCAAGAATCAAATATTCTCGTATCATAACCAACAACATAAATAAATAAAAAGATTAACAATATGATTACAAAAACTTAAAAAAAGATTCAATAGATATTAGGAGTGAGAAAGAGAAAGAGAAAGAGAATGAGAATGAGAATGAGGGTGCCAAAAAATTACAGAATACTAGGTCTGGTGCAGAGATATGCCACTGTAGAACTGAGTACCTATCTCTCTCACTCCCTCTCTCTCTGAACTTTGAATGTTGCACAACCCAGGAGGAAGCAAGTTAGGTGGAGGAGCACTTATATAGTTGGTGAGGGAGATGGTTTAGTAATCTTACCATGGTTTGTAATAGTAATGAGCCGCCCACAACATGGAACTGCTATACTCTTGCCCAATCATAGAACAAATTATCCTATGCTTTTGGAACACTATATCAGCAATGTGTTAACTATGGTTATTTTATGATTCGATTTTGCCTACTTTGTTAGACAAAAATATTAAATTTAGTAAGATTTTAAAGAGATTACAATTCTAATGATAAAATTACATACAATCTCGATTATATTATTATGATCCCGATATAATCAATTTTTTTTATTTATTATTTATTTTATATATATATATATTTTTGTGAATATCTATATGTAAAATTTAATTATAAACTCATTTTTTCAAACGTCTCATCTAATGTTAATATGAAGGATGTGTTATATTATTTTGTAGTAATTCTTTTAAAATTATATAACATATATCATTTTTATTAATAATTTTTTACTTTATTTCATTAAAAAAGTTATAAGATTTTCGATCTAATTCAAATTTGAACAATTTATGTCAACCAACATGGATTCACAAAAAATTGGCAGAGGTAGTTTCTTTTATTTTATTTTGTTTTCTTGCATGCTATTGGTTGTGCAGACTTTTGTTGTGGTGTGTGAGACTCATAAGATAACTTCTCTCCATAGTGCATTATTACGTGGTACTTGGTGACTGGTTGAACCATGTAATCATGTAACTTTAAGAAATTGTGGAGCCCAGCCCCATTTTCACACACCCAGAGTTGAACTTGAGTCGTCTGATCTGATCCAATCCAATCCAATTCAGTGTCACACACTCCCCCTCTCTCTATCCATGCCCAGTTCTTTCCTGGAAGTTTCTCTGCGAAGCTGGCGAAAAGCTTATGAGTTGTTCTAATGACGCAACAACCTTGAACGTAGCTGACGGTATATACTATTTGGTTTTGGATTTTTTAAAATTAATTTTTGACTTTTAATTCGTATTTTTTTAATTCATTATTTTAGGATAATGATCTAAATAAGTGTTGTTTAGGTTGATCTAAATAAGTGCACTTTTTAACGATGATGACCTTTAACGGTAATGACTAAATAAGTGCACTTTTAACTGACCTTTAAGGGTAATGACCTAATAGCTGATGGTAATGACATTACCTTAGTGTCTCTTCACTTTTATCTCTCACTTTTTTTTTCTTTTTTCCTTTTCTTATAATTTTTTTTATGACTGGGTATTTGGATTAATTTATGCGTACCTTAACTAATTTTAAAACTCATGCAAAGCGCTTACTCCATATGAATCGAACAAATCTCGAACAGAATCTGCGAATGTGACCTGAAAGAGTTAATAGTACTTAGTGAGAGTTGAACTTGGGACATGGAGGAACCCCAAGCTACACCCCGCTAGGCCAATCCCTTGGAGGCGCTTTAGTCATTTAACTTTTAATAGTAATAGCCAACCTGCTACATTTTAAGTCAAGTTGTAATCTCACTCTTCTATCCAGCTACTACTAAGAAAGTTGACGGAATTTGTCAGTTGAATCAAATGTGACATTTTGTTGTCTCATTAGCACATATGCATTTTTATTAAAATTTCACTTTAGACTCACCACTTTTAATTATCTTTGACTTACTTTAATAACAGTAGATAGACAAAAAGGTAAGATTGGAACTTAACTTAAAGTATAAGAGTTGACTATTACAATTAAAAGTGAAGGAATTAAAGTAAGATTTTAGTAAATGTGCAACAATACGTGTAATATACCCATTATTTTAATATTTTAATTTTTTAAATTTACTTCATCTAAATACACTTAAAAAGTATATTAATTTTTCATATTTTTAATATTAATTTTTCTTCATTTTTTTTTATACAAATATTTTCATTTATAAGTATACATTTAGATTAAGGTAGTGTTTGATAAAGTTAAAAATTGAAAACTGAGGAATAAAAATTAAATATTGAAAATTGAATTCTGAATTTTTTAAGATGAAAAATTGTTTGATAAAAATTTAAATGCTGAACTAAAAATAAATTATTTGATATGTATAAAATTAAATTTTAAATTTATTATTTTCAAATTATATATTTCAATATATATTGATATGGTGTTGGTAGTGGTGGTGATAACAGTATGATGGTGATGGTGGCGGCGCGTGATGGTGGGGGTATTGGTAGTGGTGGTATTATGGTGGTAGTGGTGGTGGTGGCATAGTGGTTGTGGTAAAATGATGGTAGTGTTTATGACAATCATGACAATGGTGACGAAGGTGGTGATTGTGGTAGTGGTGGTGGCGGCAACATGGTGATAGTTGTGGTAGTAGTAGTAGCAATGGTTATGGTGGTAGTGGCGGCGGCGGCGATAGTAATAGTAGTGGTAGTGGTGGTGTTGATGGTGATAGTAATAGTAGTAGTGGTCGTAACGGCGGCGACATTGATGGTAGTGGTAGTAGTGGTGGTAGTGAGTTTATAATCATTTATATCGATATTTATGTTTAGTATTTATAAATTCAGTTAGAATTAAGTAAGCCTCATATGACTTAAAATTTTCTTAAGTTTTAGCTTACATTTTAGGAAGTACTTAAAATTTTAAATGATATCAATTATGGTTATTAAACGGACTTAATTTATTATCACTTAATATATTCAATTGTAACTGCTGAATCAGGTTATTAAACACCCCCTACATCTCTAATTTTTTTTAAAAAAAATGATTAAATCATAAAAATAAAAATAAATTCACTAAAAATAATAAATCAAGAAAAATAAAAATTTCAAAATTGTTCTTGAAAACTCAAAACTAAATAGATAGTTTATCTTTAAATTTACTTTAATAATATGATAAATTGGTAAACTTTAGAGGTAATGTTTTAGAATTGTATAATATTATTTTTATTTTAAATTTCAATGTCATGTGTTTGAAATTATAATTTAAATACATTAAAAATATAAAGGGAAATTTATAATACACACTTTAAAAAAGGTGTATACCATATGTTCATTTACGACCTTTATATTATTTGATTATCACTCATTATGCTGTTAATTATGATTTGGTTACAATTCATTATAATGTTAGTTATGATTTAATCATAACCTCTTGTGATTTTTATTTTGATTATTATCGATTTTTTTTTATTATGTCTCAAATAATATGTAATTATAACCCTTAATTATAATTTATTATGATATTAATAATTACTTATTTGTTGGCTTATTTTTCCTATGAAAGAAAACATAATAAATGCGAGCATGCCAGCAAGGATTGAAAAATTTTTACAAATTAAATTCAAACCAATTATCAAGCGATTATGTTGACGGTTTTTTACCTTAATGAAGAGAATTTCAAAATTGCTAAGTGTAGAGAAAAAAAAAATGTAAAAGAAGGAGGGAGATAGAGAAAAATGATTGAGTGAACAATCGAGGTGATTGAGTGAACAATCAAAGTAACGATTAATTACTTTTACTCATATGCTTTGAAAATGAAGTGCATAAAATTATCTCTACTCCTATGCTTCGAAAATGAAGTGTTAAAAATAAAGTGCAGGAAATATAAATAATAAGAAAAAATAGAAATCAACTGTCTTTAATTTGAGTTGGCCCCTTTTACAATGTAGCCATGAATGATTATTTATAAACAAATATTTGTAAAAAAACTACCTAAGACTACCCACTCTTCCACCTCTTTCATTTCATACTCCATGATCTTTCATAACTTCTTGCAATCTCCACTTCATGCTCCATGATCTCCACTTTGTTTTCCATTATCTTTGAAAATTTCATAACTTCTCATAATCTCCAAATGAGTATGAAGATGCCACATGCCCTACAATTATATAAATAGTAAATAATAAAATTACAAATTTATGGTGCCAATATTATTATGATTATTATTATTATTATAATTGAAAAGATTTTAGTTATATGTTAAGTAGTGTTTGATTATTATATTTTTTTTAGTTATTATGGTTTGTTTTGAAAAGTTAGTTAAAAATTGATTTTTTTGATTTTTTTTTTAGTTTTTTTTTATAAAAAAAGTATAAAAAACTAAAGAAATGATGTGATCTAAAGTAAGTTAAAAGTCAAATTAACTTTTAATTTCCAAAACAACTATATAATACACGCACAAAAAAAATAAAAAATAAAAAAAATAATGTACATTATAGAATGATCCAATCATATATTATTAAAATTATGACCCAATATACTTAAGTTAACTAGAGGTCAACAATACAACGTTTCGTGTAAAGAAACCACGACAAAAATTACACCCCTGTTGGCAATAATTTTTCCACATTTCACTACCTCTTTTCCCCGTCAACTGATTGAGCTAGTCCAAGGGTTTGGTCAGATGGATGAGTCGTGGAATTTTGGGGTTTACTCCCTCTAACTTCTCAACTGCAGCTTCTCTTACTAGCATAAACTCTTGGGATCACAAATTGTCGGATATAAATTATTTTTTGAAAGGCTTGTTCAAATTACATAAATTTAGAGATTACTTAAAATAATTTAAATAAGTATATTTTTTAATTTTTTATAAAAAAATATAAAAAAAAATAAAGAAGTGATGTAACTTAATTTATTTTTTTTTTAAATGTACTTATATAATATATCTCAAATGGTACCTTAATATGATATGTGCAAATAATAAAGGCCTCTTTTGGAAAGAAATTAAAAGTTAATTTTTTAGCTTTTAACCTGTTTTTAGTCACATCACTTTTTTACTTTTTCACATGTTTTTCAAAAAAAGTCAAAAAATTAATTTTTAACTTACTTTCCAAAACAATTCAAAATTGTCGTTTGACAATAGGGTTTTTTTAATTAGTTTTTTGACTATTTTAACTTGAAACTAAAAGTTCGTTTATGTTGGCTTTTTTAACTTTTATGAGAGAAAAAAAGAAATAATTATGATTTGGATGTGATATTTTATTTTATTAATTTTTTAATTTATTTTATCTTTTTATGACCTTGTTTGGGAACATACTTTTTTTAGTAATTTTTTGACTAAAATATAATGTAAAAAAAATTAGTATATTTGAGA